AATGCCGAAGGAGAAGAAGTGCGGAATCTGCTGCAAAGCAATAGATACTTTTCGATTTGAAGAAATGCAGAAACGCCGAAAGTGAAGAAGTGCGGGTGCAGAATGCCGAAGGAGAAGAAGTGCGGAATCTGTAGAAAAGCAGTAGATACTTATCGACGTGAAGAAATGCAGAAATGCCGAAACTGCAGAAGTGCGGAAAGTGCAGAAATGACGAAAAGCATTACATACGTATCGATTTGAAGAAATGCAGAAATGCCGAAAGTGAAGAAGTGCGGAATCTGCAGAAAAGCAATAGATACTTATCGACTTGAAGAAATGCAGAAATGCCGAAACTGCAGAAGTGCGGAAAGTGCAGAAATGACGAAAAGCATTACATACGTATCGATTTGAAGAAATGCAGAAATGCCGAAAGTGAAGAAGTGCGGAATCTGCAGAAAAGCAATAGATACTTATCGACTTGAAGAAATGCAGAAATGCCGAAAGTGCGGAATGTGCAGAAAAGCAACCGATACGTATCGATTTTCCACACTTTCGGCATTTCTGCAGATTCCGCACTTCTTCACTTTCGGCATTTCTGCATTTCTTCAAGTCGATAAGTATCTATTGCTTTTCTGCAGATTCCGCACTTCTGCACTTTCCGCACTTCTGCATTTTCCGCATTTCTGCATTTCTTCACGAACGCAAGCTATGAACGCGGCCTTAGGCCGTTGAGTCCCTTTAATGTGCTTCCTCAAAAGACGAGAGGGAATGTTGCAGAAGATCTATAGCAAAAAGCTCTTTGTTCCGCTGCAGTGATCTAGAGATGTTGTAGTTAGGAAAAAAAGGAAGAGGGAAGAGAGGGGAGGAAGCAAAAGAAAGGTGTGAGGAAGAAAAAGGAAGAGAGCTTCACGCTTGACGGTATCCGCATACCGCGCCTAATGATAATGATTTGGAAGAACCCAGAAACAAGGAGAATTGCTTCATTTTGCTTCACGAAATCCACACCATCGTGGAGGTAAAAGATTTGACATCACTACACTCCCGATCTGACTGTGAAACTTACATTGTGCTGCTTCCCTTCCAGTTAGGCTGCGTTCATAGTTTGCGGCAGCGTTTGAGCGCCAGCGACTAGGAAAGTGGATATCGATCTAGCGAACACCAGCGTCTACCAGCGTCTACTAGCGACTAGGAACGCATGAATCTAGGTAGGTATCGATCTAGCGAACGCAAGAGCCCACCAATGTACAGCAGCGTTTTCCCGGGCACTTCTGCTCAATCCGCGATAGCGCTGCTATACGCTGGTAGACGCTGGCATTCGCTAGAGCGATGTCCATGCTTTCCTAGTCGCTGGTGGACGGTGGTGGACGCTGAAGCGAAGTTTGAACACACCCTCATGGATTCGGAAGACCTGGAACTATCAGTAGAGGAGACACTTGACTTTACGGACACAAATAGTTCCACTTTCTTTCATTGTGTGTGATACTCTCAGTGAAATGCCACTTTCAGAATGGAGCTGCTAATTGTTGTAAATTCAATCGCTGGGGTACATTAGTAGCGGTGGGGAGCACCGATGGACGAGTCTTCATTTTCGATTTCGTCACGAAGGGAATAGTGAAGGTACGCGTTTGTGCTGAGGAACAACCTCATGAAGAGCTATGGTATCTCCGGCACTAATCAATTATTACTACCCCAGTTTCCCGAAATCAGGCCGGCCTTTCACCTTATTAGGCACTGTTTACCCTGTACTATTCCATGCATTCGAAATAAGGCCAGTTTTTGACCGTCCTCTGGGAGATTTGGCTGAAAAGTTATGTCGTGGGGAATGCGACCCTCGAATACGAATTTCACATTCGCTTGGCCTGAAACTGCCTGACGCCCACGCCACAGGCGCCGGCGCCCTAACACCCTAATCACCAATTTCCCTGAAAACTTGTCTCTAGAAGTAGCTTGACCTCCTCAACATGATTATCACATCCGCTTGGCCTTGAACGGTCTGGCGGCCACGCCACAGGTGCCGGCGTTGGAACCCTCGGTCACTAAAATCGAAACTTGTACAGGAGTATTTAACATCCTGTTTACGAATATGACATAATTCTTGGCGCTAGCGTTTGGAGGACACTACGATCATCTGCGCTCTGAAGGCTGAGCTTGGCCTGAAGGAATCACTCGTTCTTCCATGCTCAACCTTAGCAAAGTGCTAATGGCGCTGTTGTCGAAAAATGAATGCCATATTCGTGATCGTGACCATTCAAATACGCCAGGTGGCGCCAGCCTCAGGTAAACGAATGTCATGCCTTGATCAAGGCATCGAATAAACTATATGGGTGGAGTTTTAGCAATTTTTTTCCTAGTTTTTGGGGTATAATAGTTGAATAGTGCGGTACCCTTTCTCCTCTTTTGCTGTACAGTCGTTAACTGTGAAGTTTTCCAACTTTAGACATGGACAGCTCATGCTCTACCTATTTCCTCATTGTCATGGTCCCGCGATGGAAGAAAATTACTCACTGCTTCGGCAGATACGACCGTTGCCATATGGAACGTTATCGAGGGTGCCAGCATGTACAGATTGAAATATTCAGCAATGGTCACTTCTGCTGTATTCAACCCCAGGCAAGTGAATCCTCACTATATCTGCTCGATCTTTGTCGGAATGAATAAAGATCTCTACACGGCTCGGCGTCGTGGGAGAATCAGCGTTCTTGGCGCTGATCGCTACATATGTTTTCTTTTTGCTAAAAACGCTGATTCTCACAGAAGACTCGCGAACGGCGCCTATCTTTATCTTAGCTATGCTTTTCGCTCCGAACGCTGAGAGTCCTAAAACGCCGAGTAGCAAAGCATGATCGTAGCCTAAACACAACTCTTCTTGCGAGCTATGCAAGCCAATCTATGCGGTAGAAGAGGTGGCAAAACCTTTACGCGGCAATCGCACACGTATGGCGAAGCGAATCAATTGGCACGTACACTTCTTCTTATTGGCTTGAAACTAAGTGATTTCTATGGGGCTCATCGCAAATTCTGCCATGCTCAGTGGGCTAACTGTTCATCTTGCGCTTTAAGTTCTGCTACTGGTTGATGAAATCCGAACGCTTTTCGGTGGCCGGTCTCCTTTTGTTGAGATTTTTGACTCTTGTAAAGCTGCTAAATGGTAAGATTCAGCAGCGCTATTTTACAAGTCCTCATAAGGATTAAGTGGAAGCTTCGCTAAATACCGTTCGGTGTCCCATGGAACTAAAGTGTGCGGAAATTTATTCAAAAAGCGCCTCCTAACTCTGGTTCCATTGCCTTATTCATCCTTTATTATAGAAACGACAATCAAGTGCTGGTATTGCAACTGAACTATCCGCCGTGCCTGGATGAACTGGAGCCACGGTCCCAGCGCATCATTACAAACGATATCCCAGGTGCAGTTGAAGACGGTGTTTCTGCCATAGCGTTTGATCGTCGGGCGAATTACCTTATCACTGGAACAAACAAGGTGAGCACTACCATATATTAGATTTTAATACAATCAGTTTGTACATTCGCACTCTGCCGAGGTGGAATGGTTTCTTCCGCGGCCGTTCGTACCAGTGAATGTTCTCTTTCTGGATCGACCGTTAACAATCACTATTGGTAGAAAAGGCTGCGGGGCGGGCTCATTCCGTCCCTCGTGACCCTGCCCCGACCGATTTCGACGTGATCAGTCATACGTAACTTATATTGCTGTCAATACTTTACTAACAGTGTTTATCCCTTCTGTGCCTTACGAGGTTGTTAGGTGGAACATTTATTAAATAAGACCTAACGTTTCGACTATTTCGTCGTCTTCGACAATAACGTGAATCCAAACTCACCGGTTCCACCGAAGCGCAGAAAGAGTACGCTGTCACACGAGAGCGTCAGTTGGACGTAAATAAGGACAACTGCATCGTCTTCGTATAATAAATTACTAATAGTGATCTTTAGGGAAAGCTTATTGTGTACGATGCAAAAACTCTGAAGATGGTGTCTTGGGGGAGGCAAAACAGTGTTCAGCAGGTGAGAAAGATTCTCTGGATTTTGACCTGGCAGCTTCTATTACTCTAAGCAGTGCCTATTGGTTGCAGGTCAAACAAATAGTTGTTCCAAGAAGGGGCAATTTCATCATAACAAATTCACAAGACAGAATTATCCGGACGTTTGATTTGGACGACATTCTAGATTGTCAGAATGGCTCCACAATTGAGCCGAAGCATCGTGTCACAGACATTGTTAATAAGGTACTTTGAAAACTTGTTGGTGAATTACTTTGAATATGCCTTTGTTTTTTTATTTGTTAATGTCGTCATGTTACAGGCTTCTTGGAAAGCAGTGTGCACAGATAGTGAAGGTTATTATATATGTGGCGCTAGCACTAAAGCACACTCCTTGTACGTTTGGGAGCGAACTACTGGCACCTTGATTAAAATACTGCACGGAACTAAGGTTGGACCACCTTTTTTGGTATGTGTAGTTATGTGAAATGTGATAGGTATTTACAATTTCGCTGACAGTTTTTCATCTGATAAAAGGGGTTTTGAACGAGAGAGGGGGCTCTTTGTATTGTTAGCTATCTTATAGGCCTGCGAACTCTACGAAGGGGTAGGAGCTTCAGGTGAATAGTTAGCTGGAGCCGCCCAAGATTATTAAGCTGCGTTAAAACTTTGCTTGAATGTATGCTAGCGTACGGCACCGTATCGAGGTACGTCAGCGCCATCGATCAAGAAAGTGTGGAATCGATTAGCATACCAACGTCGCGAGCAGCTTTGCTCAAGCTCAAGAGCGCTGGCGAACGCTATACGCTTATGTATCTATACTTACCTAGTCGCTGGGAACGCTGCTGTACGTTGGCGCACGCTGGCATGCACTGGTGGACGGTCGAAACGCTAGATCAATATCCATAGTCGCTCGAAACGCCGCGCACGCTGACGTACGCAAGATCGACACCTTTAGTTTTCTTGTCGCTGGAGGTAGCATATGCTCGAAACGCTGCCGTTCGGGCGTACGTTGAAAGTATGAGCGCAGCCTTACAGTTTATTAGGTCAACTTTTCGTCTTGCTCGCCCGATCAGAACCTGAAAGAGTCAAGAACACATGAGATTTGTCCTTCAAACGTCTTAGCAAGGCTGAAGACCATTCCGAAATACTGGTAAACCACCTAATCACGACCTTTTCAACCATTCATCCGAAATCACAACCGTGCCAAGATTTGAGCAGTGTGACAGCAGGAGCGAGAGAATGGGCGATTGTGAGCCAGAGATGAATATTTTTGCCCGAGCTGAAGACTCTAAGACGTGAAGCTGTTCTTTTCAAAAAGACATCGTTGCTTTGGGCCGTCCCCTTACCTAGCCTATTTTGCAGATTTACGAGAAGCAGGTTTTTCATTGTACGTGGGTACAGGAGTTTCCGTGTCCCTGCAAGATGGCCTACCAGGTTGACCGGATTCAACAAATTGTCCCTCCCCCCGCGCCTGATACTACTTACTTTGATGGTCCATCAGCTGGCTTGATCTTCCAGTGGGGACCACAGCTCTTCCATAACGCACGATTTCTGGCGACTGCATCCAATGTGGTGGACCGCGTTCTCTGAAATATTTCAAAAACGAGTCGGACCAACGCGTTGGTGGTCGTCCCAGAGGCCGTTTTGCGTTCCTTGGGAGCCATTCTGTGACGCGGAGACTCCATCTGTCATCGTTGCGGCGGAGCAAGTGACCAGCCCAGCGGTGTTTGCACTGCGCCATATACTGCAGCGGATCTTTCAATCTCGACCGCTCCCTTAGGTCTGTACTCCGTAGACCTTGTAGCCATTGCTGGCGGCGGGGTAACCGCGCCTGATAGTAGTTGATTTTTCGACTGATTTGTCTTCATTGCACTTTCTTCTCTGGTTATGAATTTAGCAATTTTAGGTCTAATTTTTTTCCGTGACACTCGCATGATTTCTTTTGCGTTGTTTTAGGGTGAGTGCTTAATGGACGTCCAGTGGCATCCCATACGCCCGGTTATACTATCGGTTGCTAATGGCATCGTGTCTGTATGGACTCAGGTGCGTTAATATGTTCTGATTAGTAATTGTCAATAGAGATGGCGTGATTTTCCTTCTGTTGAAAGAGTTTTTTGGATCTTTAGGCTCACGTTGAAAATTGGTCAGCATTCGCTCCGGAGTTCACCGAATTGGAAGAAAATGCGAAATACGAGGAAAAAGAAGGGGAGTTCGATCTGGAGGATGAAGACGCTGAAGTGGACGACAAAGCAAACTCTCAGGTTGGGTTTCGACTTTACTCAGGGTGTTATTCTCAAAGTAGAAGTACTGTTGCAGGATTCCGATGAGGAGATTATCGACATAGAGTCATTGAAACCAAATGAAATCCTTTGCAGCTCAGATGAGGTTGTTATTCATGCTTTTGTAACGAATTGTGCTTTCTGAAGTTAATAAGAGGTTGTTCAGTAATGATTCGTTCCAGGAAGACAACATCAACAGCTTACTACCAGATGTGACACTGAAAACTGGACCTCTATGGTTCCTTCCAATTACTCCAGAGTGTGACTCCACTGAGACTCTACCTCTTCCTGGCGGACAATTCACAGGTATCCTTACATCATTTTTTTCGGTTTTTTTCTTTCTTCTAGTGTCTTCAAAATTTATGTATTGTTCAGTCTGTATAGAAGTTTTTTCTAATGGGGTAAAAGGGGGTACACCTGGTGCATATCATATCAGTTGGGTTGGCCCATTAGTGATGGTTCTTTTTTACGTTTATTTCTTTCTTTTCTTTCTCAATCCCACTTTTTTGGCGTGCATCTTCTTGAATGAACTGATTCAGTAATTCCAGTCGAACTCAAGATGGCATGATGCCTATATGTGAGGATGAAATCGAAATCTTCGAATTGTTCAAACCACTTGTGCCTTATCGAGAAACGTAGCTTCCTAGTCAAATACTTATCAGACGGTCTCTGAGCTTATGTCTTTTTGATTTAATGGAAGTGTCGAAAATACTGAATTTCATCGACGACCCACAATTTTATTACTTAAAAATCAATGGAGATGGTACCTTAAAAAATTGTGCTAGTTCAAAAAAATGTGAAAATCATCCTATAGGACAGAATGTTTCTACCAGGCAATGTAGAACTAAATGGTGAGGCTTTTCGTCTTTAACGGAAAAGTTTAGAAAAACGTTACTATTCATGGTACAACCTAGTATTAAAAATAACATTGTCAAAAATTTGGCATAAAGGCACCAGAGCAGCCTCGTACAGCCAATTGCACCAGAGCAGCCTCGTACATCCAATTTTCTTCGAATATTGCAGACATTTTTCAGACGGTCGCCGCGCTTCCAGTCAGATTTTGAGCGCACTCGAAGAGGAAAGTCGGAAGAGAGCTCTACCGGACGATAGTATGAAGGCCCCAATGAAGGGACGGAAGTTGAAATAGTTGAACCATGTGCTGCGCTCGGTGCATATTTCCGCAGCAAAGCCTCGAAGATGGATTGGAGTCAGTTCTGCCGCTTTCATTGTACAAAATTTCTACAGCTCTTACTGTATATACTTGTATAAAGCTCACACTTTCCCCTACATTTTACTCATAGATCTTAGATCCTTTCAAAGGCTGGTGGGAAGTGATTGCTCACTGCATTTTTTTGAATGATCAACTTTAGTCCTGCTCGTTGCAGCGGGCGTATCAGATAGTAAGTTTGGTTTGGGTTTTGCCGGTCCTTCCTCTACCAGTTGCTGAAGCGGGTAAGCGACAAGTGATGGAAAACGATTGGTTCTAATGATGTGATACAGTCTTGTCGCTTGCCAAAAGAAAAAAGAAAATAATGGGGCTGGCGCTGCAAAACCAGCTCCCTGACATGCTCCATCATCCGCAGCAAACAGGACTGTGTCAGGACAGTTTATGTAGAATTTTGACGGTTGGTGTAGGTTTAGAGTTCTTCCATGACGGACACCTAATTTGCGATGTCGGCAGAAAATGATAGTCGAAAAGGCAGGGGTTATCAGCGACAGCGTGAACGGTGGGCAAAGAAGCGCTGTGCTTGTAAGCGGTTGTCAAAAGGCATCCATTGCTGCTTATGGAGGCAGTGTACATAATTGCGGTGGCTGAAATTGCGGTGTCAGTCTCCACACTCCACGAATCTTCTCATGCAACCTCCCGAAGAAATAATCGAATACGATCCCCATTCTCAGACTACCTATGCTCTTGCCGAGCTTTCCTAACACAAAATTCACCGCCGAGGAAGGAGGATAGACACCTTCAGTATACATTCGAGAAAAATGAACAATCAGGAAATTTCCCTTGGCGGCTCGCAAAAGATCTCCATTAAGTACAAACCCCTCTCCCCTCTCAGCGGCCGAACCTGATCTCTCTGATAGGTTTTATGCAGCGATGCTGTAGCATGTAAAATCATCACCCCATATATATAATTCGCGTTGTCTGTATGTTTGTTTGTTTGTTTGTTTGTAAGTTTGTAAGTTTGTTTGTAAGTTTGTTTGTAAGTTTGTCTGTCCGGAAATTCGGTTCGACCTGAAGAACGACTTGGAGAGGTCCAGTCAAGGTGGGGATAGGTAGGGCATGGGACAAGAAATAAAAAGCACACTTGACCTATGGCAAGCCCCGCCCACAGTGGGCGGGGCACTCGCCGAAAGTTTGGGGTTCCGCAGAAAAATGTTCATAATTCGCTTCCGGAGCAGCTTAAAGATGGGGAAAAAAGGGACTAAGGTTAGTAAGGAGTCGCCAGACTAACAAGTAGTGGCAGTACCCTAAATGGGCGGGCGACTGCAAGTAGGGCGGTGCTTCTCGGAAATGAGTAACCTCAGTTCGCGATAGTGTGAATCGCAAAAACTTAAGGTAAATGTAAATATCCCGGCGAATAGTAGGGCACGCTCCAAACACGCGTGTTGACCCGCCATAGTGGGAGGAGCCAGCCGAGGACCAGGCGGAAGATACCGAAGATGTTCCTCGATAAGCAGGAGCTTGCCCTCGCCCACCTTCATGTACACCAAAATATGAGGTCATCTCCAGTCGCAGCCTGACTGGAGAAGACCTTTGGAATTCATGTCACCTCCAAACAGCTGCGAAACTTCTAGTGTGGAGTCACCCATGGGTAGCTACCTGGAGACCAGTACTCTCAATCTGGGAGACCTCCAACATCGAGCAGCTTCGTCAACGTCGATACGGTCTAGGACATCATCTTCACCGTAGTCGGCTATGGACCTGGAGTACCTGGAGTGGGAAGACCGATATTTTCTTTGTAGACCCGGACTGAAGGTGAGCGCTGGCGGTTACATCAAGCAACTCGAGAAGAATATCCTCCCACATGTCGTCGCCCGTACCTTCTTGGAGACCTTGTACTGCTACAGGTTTGGGTGAAACCACATGGAATGGAAGGGTTTTGGAAAAACTCTCGCCTACTTCGAATGGAAGGGCGTTTCGTATCTGAAGAAAGACTATATTTGAAGTATGGTAAACCCACTGAACCTGAATCCACATCAATTTACTAGTTCGGGCGGAGTGTATAGGGTGCTAGAGCGCGTGGCGCGAGAAATCGACTACCGTCGCTAGATCCAGGTACCACATCGCGGTCGGCAGTGCCAGAATGCTTCTGATGCGCGCTCGTCCACGGAAAGCTGTGGCGGGCAGTGGTCATGATATGTATTTAGTAAATGCTCGTTCAATTATGGTCGGTAAAAACATGTCAAAGATCACAATTTGATAAGGTAAACTTATAGTGCCCTCGGCAAATGTTGGGTTCCAAAATGCGAGGCAAAGTGACTTTTTTTTGCCCGCTCCACCCCCCTGTACAGCACGCTGAAGGTAGCGCCTACAAATGGTATAGCTAACCCGCTCCATAATGCCCTTTCTGCTTTTCTGGCCATTCCTTTACATGTCCACGACGCATCTTGTTGAAGCGGATGACCTAATAGATAGGATACCATCGGTGCATTAGTTACCGTGGCTTTGAAGGTTTCGTTGTTTACGTTTCGAATAAGTTACGAATGATGCTGTCTCTCAACGCGTTTCAGCTCAACCTTGTAAAGCTTAATGAGGGGGATACCGGTAGGGTTCCATTTCACTTTGTGCTGCTATCATCTGGGCGATGGGATGTTCTATACTCTCGCTATACATTGTTTCGCATTGTCTTGAATAGAACAATTCAGTAGTATGTGACACAAGCAAAAACGCGAAGGCGAGTTGACCTGTCCTCTAGAAGATCAATGATGGCTCTCAACAAAAGGAACTCGGATTTTTCACTCGAAGCGAACTAATCCTGAGCTAGATTAGTGGGGCTAAACTACATCTCGACGTCAACCGGGAGTATTCCTTCGTTTTTACGGCGTTTTCGGCTAAGGTTGGACACAAGTTGACACAGTTATCAGTTATTGGGGAGAAAAGGCGAAAGAGATTGGACAAACGGCACTAATAAAGATCCAAGTTCGGTTCCAGTTATTATTATGTAAAGAAAGAACTGAGCCGTAGAAAAGATAGACATAGCCCCAGCAAGAAAATGCACAAGTTATTGACACATCACTGCTATACAGCCGAGGCAAGTCGGAAGAGGGAGACGGTGAAGGGGGGGGGTCACCAGGAGGGCGGAGAGTGTCCATCGTGGCACAGTCATGACCTTCTTATACGCTCTTCCAAGTCTGTAGGGGATTGCAGACAGCCTCTTGGATTTCACGCTCCTACTGGTGGGGGATCGTTAACTTTATCTCAAAGGCAGTTGGCACGATAAATCTCTAAGACGTGTGGGGCTAATACGTCTAGCAGGACTGAATTTGACGTCCCTGAGCAAGCGCTAATGGCGCCTTTGCCAGGGAAGGTGCCCTTGCAGTGCCCCATCAAACTGCAACATACCGACTCGGACGCCCACCGCGCCTGCCCGCCTACAAGTGTCCGACCGATCATGACGCTCGTATCGTTCATTTGCAGAGTACAGTATGAGACAAAGGGATTTATATGATGCGAGTGCCATGCTTTATGGATATCAGAGTACCTATCTACCGTAGCGGTTATTGGCACGATGTCAATGAACCACTCGTCCGAAATAGCTTCCTGGGTCATGTGAAATGAAGAATTTTTGGAGTTTCACTTCGCTTTTGCGCCAATTCCCCACTATTTAGCGCCCTGCTACCATTTTATGCGGATTACCAAATTATCGTGCCAACTATCCTTGAACTCTTCGAAGAGCAATAACATCTCGTGAGCGATTCGTGAGAGAATGCCTCCATTGACATGTGTTAAACATCCGCAGTCTGAAAGATATCCATTTTGTGGAAGACGGGCAAGTGAGTCGTAATTTGCCGCTCTGCCGCGCGCGGCGATGGGCGCGGCGTTTTCTTAACTCGTGTTAACCTGTCGATTGGAGCACCGGACTTCATGTAGACCCCGTCATCGTAGACATTCATGACTATTTTCGGTTCTGAATTGCCTGTTGTCACCATCCTACATGGAACCATCCTCGGGGGAGGGAGGGTTAGCGAGTATGATCCTTTATGTTGACGGTGCTGAACTGAACGCGATAAGCAAGGAGAAACTCTAAGACATAAATGGCAGGATGTTCTGGAAGAGTGTGCCTCAGCGACGAACTTGAGGAAGACCAAGATCCTACTTTCCCGAAGTCCCAATTCGTAGTGCCTGAAGAAGTATCGTAAAAAAGGAAGGCTGAGAAGAGAGCGATCTAGTAAGGCGCTGGAGGTTAGAGTATCCGCGTCGGTGAAGATAAGGCTTAACGTTACCTTTTGCGGTCCACTACCCAGCAGGCGGCTCAAGTATAAGGTGCGCGGGTTCCATAGAGGCGCACTGTGCCTTTACAAAATCTTAACTTTTGCAAGAAACATGGCAGAGAACTGAGTTGTGATGAAATGAAGATATTGGGGTGGAGAGGACGCAAAAAGTCATAAGAAAAAGTCCTAAGTAAGGACCACTGGTAGCCTCACTGAACAAGCTCTCCGCACCTGCTCGTTCCACACCGGCAAAGAGATATCCGGCCCGTGGCTCGTCTATAATCTTCTCGTCTTCCAATGCTAAGACAGTGGAAGAAAATCCACGGCGTGCAACTGAACTCGTGAGAGAAAATAGTCTTCTAGTTTTGTTGGGTGGAACAATGAGGGCGGCTGACTCCGGTTATTTACTGTGAAGCCATAAAAGTGGTATAAAGAAGCGGGATCAGACAACTTGAACAGGGAAGGACGCCTGCGGAATGGTTGAGAGCGGAGACTGACTTGACGATAGGCGAATTAACGTCTTCCCCAACCGGTCTATGAAATGTACCCATCGATGATAGTTCCATGGCTTTGAGGTATCTTGTGTTTACCTCGAAAAGTATTATGATCCACAGTGTTGTCAGTGCTTTCGGAGTCCATTTAAAAAGGGAAACTATCGGTAGGGTTTCATTTTCTGCTCTGCAATCATGTTCGGGTGGTGGAATGTGCTAT